GGGGGGTGTTTTTTTGAGGGTCCTGGGGGGTGGGGAGGGGTATTGTTTTTTGGTCTTGGTGGGGGAGGGGTGTTGTTTTGAGGCTTTTTCTTTTCTTTTATAAATCTTGGAGGGGGGGGCAGGTGTTGTGTTTTGTCTTGTTTGTTCTTTTGTCTTGGCAAAATGCGTTTTTTGTCGTGGGGATGGCTATTTTTTGTCCTGGGGGCGCAGTGTTGTTTTTGTCTTTGGGAGGTGGTTGGGCGCAATCAAAAACTCGCGAGGGCTACTGCGCAGCTCATGGCCGAGCGAAAGAGGCTGAAAAAAAACCGCGAGGGCTACCGCGCCATTCCATCTCGAAAACACTTAGAACACAAAATGAACGGTGGGTTTCACGGGAGTTCAATGCAGGTAGCCTAAAAAATGCCAAGCCACCTGCTCATTTTCGATCTGGTGCAACAAAACACACCTCGGCCTTATCATACCCCGCTTTGTAGCCCAATAAAACCTTAAAATCACTTCCCAAAATCCAAAATGAGCTTTGCGTTTCACAGGAAGTCATTGCAGATAACTTCAATAAAGAAGAATAATGGCCAATCAACTGTCCATTTTCGATCTGCTGCAACAAGCAAAAGCCCAGCCGCCCAGCCTTATCATACCCCACTTTGTTTCCAATGAAAGGCTCGGAAAACTTCCCATTAAATTCAAAATGAACCGTTGGGTTTCACAGGACTGTTGTAAATTACCTCAAAAAAAGGGGGGAAAATTGCCAATCAACTTTTCAAATTTCGATCTGCTGAAAAAACACAGCCCCAGCCTTATCACACCACACTTTGTTTCCCCAAAAATGCTCGGAAAACATCCCAAGATTCAAAATGAGCGCTGGGTTTCACTGGAATTTTGGCGCACACAACCTTTTAAAAAATAATGTTAATCAGTTTTTCAATCACAAGAAAACACCCCCCAGCCTGCCGTATCATATCCGCACTTTGTTCACCGAGAAAAGCTCGGAAAACGCCCCAAAATGTAGAATGAGCGTTGGGTTTCACAGGAATTCCGGGCAGCGACAGCAAAAAATTAAAATTGCCAATCAACTTTTCATTTTTCTATCTGCCGGAAAAAACACCACCCCAGCCTTATCATACCTGAGTTCGTTTACGAACCCCCCTTTGTTTTTGTGGTCAGTCTATTTTGGGCCAACCTTATTGTACCTTGTAATCCTTATTCTACCTCAACACCGCTACAAAATCTCTTAATTTTTGTGAGAAACACACCATGTGCTTACATTTTGGATGGATACATGCCTGGGTTTGTGGAGGGGGGCTTGGAGACTTAGAAGCGAGTTCTGCTTCTGGAGGTAAATGTGTTCTTGGGGTAACCTTATTGTACCTAGCAAATCTTATTCTACCTCAAAACCATTACAAATCTCTATTTTTTTTGCGAGAAACACACCGTGTGCGTACATTTTGAGGGGATACATGGATGAGTTTGGGGAGGGGGGTTAAACACTTAGAAACGAGTTCTGCTTCTGGGGTAGATTTGTTTTTGGGCCAACCTTATCGCACCCAGCAAACCTTATGATACCTCCGAAACCCTTTTTGCGAAAACCCCCATGTCCAGCGAAAAGGGGAAGGTTTTCCTTTCATGTCGGCCTTCGAAGAAATCTTGCGGAGTGATCATGTTTGACGGACACAGTCTAGAAGCGGTTGGGGCCCTGGGCGGGAAGGGGTGCTTGCCTTTTTCTGGTGGCCTCCTTCATGTTCGGGCAGCACTCAGGCGGCGGAGCGTATGTCGGAGGCAGGTTTATGCAGGCTGAGATGAGCAGGGCGCACTTCGAGCGGTGCACTGCAAGACTGAAAGGAGCCGGGGCAGCAATGGGATTTGGGTTGCTAGGGGGATAGGAATTAGCTTTGGCCGTTGGCGTGTCATTGAGGCGGTGGGCTGGGCGTCCATGATGACTTCAAGCAGGACAAGAACAGCACCATCCATTTTGAGAATTGCACTGCAGGCCTTATTAGTGGAGCCCCAGCAGCAGTGGTATGTGGGGAAGCAGCAGTGCCACACTGGCTTTGGGGCAGGAGAGCTGTGTCCAGCGGAAAGGGGACGGTTGTCCTTTCATGTCGGGCTTTGAAGAAATCTTGCGGAGTGATCATGTTTGACGGACACAGTCTAGAAGCGGTTGGGGCCCTGGGCGGGAAGGGGTGCTTGCCTTTTTCTGGTGGCCTCCTTCATGTTCGGGCAGCACTCAGGCGGCGGAGCGTATGTCGGAGGCAGGTTTATGCAGGCTGAGATGAGCAGGGCGCACTTCGAGCGGTGCACTGCAAGACTGAAAGGAGCCGGGGCAGCAATGGGAAGTGGGTTGCTAAGAGGCTAGGAATAAGTTGCTTGCATCTTTGGGAGTTGGCGTATCATTGAGGCGGTGGGCTGGACATCCGCCGTGACTTCAAGCAGGACAAAAACAGCACCGTCCACTTTGGAAGTTGCACTGCAGGGGGTAAGGGAGCCATGGCAGCAGTGGTATGTGGGGAAGCAGCAGTACCGCACTGGCTTTGGGGAAAGGGGATGGTGTTCCTTTCATGTCGGCCTTCGAAGAAATCTTGCGGAGTGATCATGTTTGACGGACACAGTCTAGAAGCGGTTGGGGCCCTCGGCGGGAAGGGGTGCTTGCCTTTTTCTGGTGGCCTCCTTCATGTTCGGGCAGCGCTCAGGCGGCGGAGCGTATGTCGGAGGCAGGTTTATGCAGGCTGAGATGAGCAGGGCGCACTTCGAGCGGTGTACTTCAAAACGAGAAGGAGCCGGGGCAGCAATGGGATGTGGGTTGCTAAGCCGTTCGGAATGTGCTGCTTGCTTTTTTCTAGTTGGCATCTGGAAAAGTTGCAGCTCACAGGTGGTTGCGTAGCGGCTGGAAGCTTCTTCCAAAACAAAAGCAGTGCCGCTCACTTCCGGAATTGCGCTGCCACGGAAGCAGGCCGGGGAGTATTGGTTACGCTGAAGTGTGTGCATGTGATTGGCGGGGCTCATGCCAGGCCCTAGGCTTGATGCAGGGTTTAGGCCGAAGTGGTGCCCAGCCCTCACGGAATGTCCCGCGAGCAGGCCCTATATAGCCTTGCAAGACCGTGAATCCCTTCCTGGCGTGTGAGGCACTTGTAGGCGTACTCTTGGGGTGCCTTGGGTCCGACGTTTTGCTCTGTCACTTCGGGCAGCGCTCAGGTGGTGCTCTGTACGTCGACGGGAATGTCGAGCAGACTGAGAACAGCTCTGCGCATGTTGAGAATTGCGCTTCGGAAGAAAGTGGTGCCGTGACAGCAATCGCACGTGCCTGCAAGAAGGCAGGTAGGTAGTCTTTAGCTAGAGTCCATTCGTATGTTGGTTTTCTTTGGAATTATTGCTCGGACTGTGAAGAAAGAGCTGCCGACTTGCCGACAGGATGGGGGCCGGGCCGGACTGTACTGTAGCAGATCCAGCAAGGAAATAAACGTGACAGGAAAAGGCAGATAGTCATAGGTGGCGGGCTACACAATGCCGTTGCGTACAGCGGCACATGCCTTGGGTCAGATTGGCTTTGAGCTCCAGTTGCGCAGAGGGTGGGGTCCGTCAGCTTCCGTGAGGAAAACTAGGAGCTGTGCTTATGGTCTTCGGAAGCTGTGATCAAGTTGCCGTACGACTCCGTCAGCAACTTTTGGATGCAGTCTGTCGTTGTTTGTTTTGGGTTCTGGAGCAGAAACAAGTCTCGAGTCTAGAGTCCACACATCACAGCAGCGACAGATGTGACGCCTCGGTTTGGCCGGAGTGGGTTGATAAGAACCCGCGTACTTGCGCAAGCAACTTGTAGTACAAGCAGGCGGGTTCGAAGAAGGGGGTGGGTAAGGGGAGATTGATGGCAATGAGGCCAGGCGAAGTCTGAGGAAATGGAAAGAGGAGTGGGTAGAGTCTTTGCCTCAAATGAGCCTCGTTGGATAAGCCGGTCTTCTTTTTGAAGCAGCCCTGTGCCTTAGGTGGGGGCTTCTTCGTCGCACGGAACTTTGTGGTGCAAAATGAAAGTCGCGTACGTTTTGCGAATTGCACTGGCCGCAAACGTTCCTTGGCATCATCCAGCCTAGGCCTAAAGGAAAGCCGGTAAGCGGTCATTCAGAGCTGGTGGTGGCAAAGGACGCATGCGCTTAAACATCAAAAATACTCATGGGATTGGTCAACCAATTTTAGGGTTTCAGACCTATAAGCTTTTGGCTTGTTCGCTGAGCCTCTTTCCATCGGCCTGTTCGTCTACCGGTTGATGTATCTTAGACTCTTCGTCAAGATGTGCGTTTTGACAATGGCATAAAGACCTCTCTAGGTCGAAGCGTCGGCCTCTACTCGCCTTGTGCGCCATAATACAGTTGTTAGATCTCTGCGGCCCGGTCCTGAAATCAGTCGCTTCTATGATAATTCTCGCCCTTAGGTGGCGGTGGCATGTCGACCTCTGCACTCGTGGGCGGCAAGCTTCACTTCTCGGGGTGTCAGGCTGAAGCAGGTGAGCCGGAGAGTGCGGGGCGGAAACGAGCAAAGGAATTGGAGCGAGGGAGAAATGCAAGAATGAGGAACTTGGATTTGTTTTTCATTGCTGCAGGTGGAGGCTTGCATATTCGAGAAGCTGGAGAAATCAAACGCGGCTCCCTCGTCTTTGAGGACGGCCTTACCTGCCGCAGCAGCAGGGTGAAACATGCATACTATGACCTGTTTGGGAGGACTGCACTGCCAATACGAATGGCGGTGGCATCCTTTCTGAACCTCCTGGGCCAGGAGTGTGGGGATATGAGCTAGAGTCTAAACTCCTTAAAGGGGGAGGCTATCTAGGGGATCATATGGGCGATTATTTTAGAGGGTATTAAGGGGGATACTAGGAGTTTAGAGAAAGGCTCATATGATTCCTCCAGAGTTTCCGTGAATGCTCTGCCAGCTGTTTCAGTCGAGGACATTTCGACAGCCTCATGTTCAGACGTTGCGAAGCCACTGAAGCAGCCGCACTGGCTTCGGTCCACAGCAAAGCCACAATCACGATTGCCAAGCTCCAACTCTTGGACAATGTGGGCAGTGACGATGTTGCCGTTGCAGGCCAGGCATGTCATCCACCCAACCAGGCCACGTACTCCGCGGCAGCTGGCAGCTGCAAAGTCAGGGCTTTGTTCCGGTGGCTGATTCCTTTGCGTGCTCAGCTTCTGTGGCACCGGTCCCATTCCATGCTACAACAGCTAAATTGATTGTCGGTTCGAATCGGTCCCAAAGATCTACTAGTACCCCAATCAAGTTGCCCCAGTGCCTTCCACAGATCTGCTGCAAGCCGGATTCAGCACCCCGGTTTATGCAACTTGGCAGAAGCTGCAGGCAACCTGAGCGTTGGAGCAGCAGTCCTTGACGACACGAAGGGCGTCTCGATCTCAACACGCGAGTTCTTCACGGCCGAAGACTTGCAGCAGTCAGCAAACTTTGCGCCTTGAGAGAAGCTAGGGAACTCTCTTGCAGCATCAGCTTCACTCAAAGGATGGATGGAAGGCGGTACCCAACAGTCGGACGCAAAATTGATGTCAATATGTAGCCCCAGCCCGTACACCATAGGTACTACTGTCCTCAAGGGTTCCCCGAAACCATGTAGTTGAATCTGAGGCTAAACCCGAAGTCCCCTGATTTCATCCAGCACGAATCTCAGGAGAGCGTTCTGGACTGCACGCGTGTCAAGATGTGCCGCTTGCTCGGAGACAAGGCCCAGAGACTCCCGTTCAGCCATGTTTAGGGGTTTCCCGAATCAGGGATACCATTTTGGGGGTCCCGGTAACAAGGATTAGAGTATTTTGGAGTCTACATGAGGGCCCCCTTATCTAGAGAAACTACCGTTTAGCAACAATGGCATGGCCTCAGGGGTAGCTCCATTGCAGGTGCGTCCAACTGAACTTAAGCCGCAGGAGGCAAGCAAAGAACATGTAGCCGGGCATCCCGCATAGGAGACCCACAAAATGTTCAAACGTCGGACGGTGAACATATGATCTCCCGTTGATTCGTTCTCCTGGCTTATACAAAGTACTTCGGAGGTTGGTGTTTTGATGCCCATAAAGCCTCCTCATCAAAGTGTGGATAAGGTCCTACCCTTTTTTGGTAGTGCCCTAAAATGAGGGGACCCCAATATTATATAGACACTACAGTACTATAGTCCTTATTATAGGAACCCACAAAAAGGCACCCCGAATTTTAGGAAACACTCTCATGGCCTTTTGAGATCGCAGTCAACATGCACGGAATCGGCAGGCCCAAGTCCTTGGCCTCCGCTGCCCTGTGGGTGCCGGGGTGAGCAATGCAAGCAACGCAACTGAGCGCGGCTGCCTTGTAACTGGGACTTGAAGAGAACTGGCTCTTGCATTCCTGTTTCAGTACAGTGAAAGCTTGCGTAATCCTTCGAAAGCCGTTTCAAGCCCCTGGAGCTCGTCAGGTTTGCCAAGAAGGCCAAACACAGCTCTTGAACGGCACCAACAGCTCCTGCCATCGCTGCCCTGATTCAGCTCGCCAATGTTTCGCCGGACACCTGCGGATGGAGTGCCTCGGCAGCGTAACTTCTCCTACTTCTTCTCATCATTGGTATCGTGACGTTCAGTGCAGTTGGTTGTCATATTCTGGTGTGGCCCTTGCTGTTTCCAAAGCTCTCTTCCTCTCTCTTGCATGCTGTTATGCTTGATGCCAAAGAAGAGAAGATGATGCTGGTGGTGGTCGTCTGTCATGGCGGCTGCGGCTGCTGTGATTTCCCGTCGTAGTTGCGGAGAATTTGTGGCTGCTGTTGCGGCTGCATTGGTTGATCATGTTCTTCATGCCGTGAACAAGTGGTGAACAGCAACGATCATTCCTGCTACAGATTTCCGCGCTGTCAGCCCCGACAGACTGTTCTTATTTTCCGCTGTGAATGTGGCCACTGGAGAAGGCGGGGCCGGAGGCCTGGGCATCTAAGCTGACTGCTCCGCTGGCCACCTCTAACCTGAGGCTGGAAGGCTTACAGTGTTACGGCACTGCTGATGACATACGCGCGCGCAAATCGCGTAGTGTACTTAGCTTCAGACCGCACGAGCGGTCGAAAACCAA